CATATACATGTATACACAAATATAACTTGCACATACACATTTGTTGGGGAAAAAACTAGGGCTGCTTTCAGCTGAAGTCCACAGTTGGGTAATACACAGGATTTTGGTCTCTGAGTCGCTCACTACAATCAAAGAAATTACAATAATATCAATAAAAAATAAAAAATAAACTATGGTGAGCAAGGGGTCTCACACTCTCTCACCAAAGGCCTGGGTGAAGAGCCAGGAGATAAGGGATAAAAGACTGCAAATAATTCAGACTGCTGCCATTTCCTGTCTTGAGGATCACCAGACATACTCATTTCCCAGTATGGAGTGGCTGATTAATCTTTTCCTGGTGTTTTCTTAAGGGCATATTGGATTCCCCACAACAATTAACAGTGTCTAACCTCTGAGTATGAAGGGCAGATTTGATGGTGGGGGGGGAATGTAAAATAGAACATGAAACAAGCTGTCAGCCTTACCAGGTAGACCAGACAGGAAACACAACTTGATAAACTAATTCTACTTTATTGTAAAGCTACAGTAACAGAATCTTGCAAGTCTGAAGGTACAATTTTCCTGCCTTCAGCTTTAGAGCCTGAGAACTTAGGGAGCGTCCCCTCTGAACCTCTTGCCCCTCCCACTATGCTGCTGCGGGCTATGCTCCCTCTTATCTGACCATTCCTTAGGCAGCATCTCTTTGCCCCATCTCCCAAGGTCTTTCCCATATGCCATTATACAAGCATAAGGCAAGAGGAAGAGGAAGAAAAAAAACACAGCCCCTGCAGAGACTCAGGTAATTTTTTCCCTACAATGAGAACAAAACCCAAAAGTTAATACAAAAGCTTTATGAAAACTAAATAGAAGCATTCTTGCTAAACCAGATTGGGTCCTTATTTATATTTAAAGTGTGGTCCCAGCCCTGTTCTTAGACAGATTATGGCAAGTGTTGCTACCATTTCAGTATTTAAAAAACCACTCTGTGGTGGTATGATTTAAATATCTAAGTAAATAATTAAAACTAAAGCAATCAGCATTAAAGCATTCGTTAGTCTTAAAGCATTTTGAAAAACTCATTGCCATTAAGTGCTTACATTATATAATCAATAATTATACATTATATAATCAATGATACTAAAACACTCAGAAGATTATACTACCACACCATTATGAGAAATGTGAGTTAATATTAAGATATAATTTAAGTCCTCAAAAAGTACTGCACACAGAATCCCTTAAGAAGAATCCTTGTAGAACTATTTGAAGTCTGTAGGGAGAGGGGAAAGCTATCCTATCATCCCAAACCCACCCTTATTTTACTTCAAAACACTAAAAACCTCAAATTCAAGTCCCTCCCTACCTCAAATTGAAATAAAGTTTGTTTATTCACCAGAAAGAGGGGATGGGTTTATTTTACTTTTCCTTCAATTTGTTAAATGCTGAAGCAGGCTAATTCTGCCCATCTTATTTTCACTCCAGTGGACCCCCTCAAGTTTCTATAGACAGGGATGCATCGCCCGCAAGAACAGATACTCCCCTTTGTGACTTGCAGCTGGTATTGGTGGCTTCCCAGTGCTTGGATTTTGCTGGGGAAGAGGGGTAGATGTTATTTTCCCAACATTAGGGAAATTAACTTTATGAGTATAAAATCAGGCAGGCATACTGCCTCTGACATCATCCCTGTATTCTCCATTCCAAAAACTGATTCACACTGAATACCCAAGTTTTCCTTAACTTCTCTTTAATTTTTCTTTCTTTCACATCCATTGCTTTTCCAGTAAAGAACTGATTCTTAGAGGCTTAAGAGGGAATGTCCAGGGAATGAGGGTGCTTGGGATCTGTGCATTCCTAGCATCCTGTAACAAATTCTTAACATGCCACCACCTACTCAGGACCAAGGTTGGAACTGTATGGAGTTTTGGTGGAGTTTTATGGCTGCTGCCTCTATACAAAATTGTCTACCCATGGATCATCCTTTTGATCCACATGAAAAGAATTCTGCAGCCAGCACTGCACTTCAGCTATACCCTATAAGAACTGAGAACTGCTCCCTTGGAACCCTAATAAAATAATTTCATAATGGGCAATAGTGCAGTTAAGCATTTGTAATGATTGGTCATACAGGTAGTCCCTGGGTTAAGAACGCCCAGTTTACAGACCCATAGTTAAGAACAGAGCTTACTGTAACAAAATGTGAGTTAAATATACAGTGATTCAAGTTAAATATACAATGTTCAATTACACAACACTACTTATATAATACTGTAGTGTTTTGGCTTACATACAAATTCGACTTTAAGGACACACCTTGGGAATGGAACTCATTCTTAAACTGGGGACTACCTGTATTTTAGCATGGCAACGTGGTGAATAAAGCCACATGAAACATAAAGGAGCAAGGAACAGTATGAGAGTGACCATTATATAGTGGAATATATTAAATACTAGCAGCTGAATTGAATTTTTAACACAGAAATAATGTTTTAGATAAAGTCTAATTTGATAATAAATTCAATAAAATACAAAATTTTAAATAAATGGAATTCTAAACAACATGAAATAAGAACCATGTTTGTATCATGGAATCTGGATTCTAGTGTCTTGTGCTCGTTAGTGTCTCTAATTTAGTCAGAAATAAAAGTTACATTAAGATACTGATAACATGAAAATTACATGGTATAACAGTGATAATATGTTCATTTATTCAGCTATTCACTGAAGAAAGAAAACAAAATTATCCAGGAATTTGGATATTTTTTTAACACAAAATAAGGGTGAAATTGTTATATGCATGTATAGGGTCGCTGACCTGCCTGAAACAAAGATGAGATAATTTATTCTCATACTTTGAATTCACTTACTAAAATAGAAAACAAATAGAAAGCTAATAGACAATATAAAATGTAGACATCATATACTAAAAGAAAATATGTGGCTGAAAAATATGCCATGTAAATAAGAATTTGCAAACTAACTGGATAGAAATACTTCAGATAAAAGGTTTTGTTCTTTTTTATACATTTCAAGCAAAATGCCCGCCAGTGCAACCAACTTCAAGCAGAATCCAAACATTAACATGCATTCCATATGTCTGAAAGGCAGATTTATTTATTTATTCAATAAATTTATATGGCTGCCTATTTCATATATATGACTCTGGGTAGCTAACAGTGAAAAACAGAAAAAAACCCAGTAAAAACAACAAAAATAAAAACAATAGATGTTTCTTGGAGCAGTCGTACTTTCCATAAATGCCATTTTGAAACAGAAATGTACTTCAGAAGCAGCATGTATTTCAGAATATAGGACTCGATGTGCAATGAATAGAAGTCTTGCCATCTCCCTGTTTAGGCAGAAATGCTCAGCGCTTGGCTTATTGATTCAAAACCTGTAACCATTTCAAAACCTGCAACCAACATGAGCTAGTTCTCAAGCTCCTTGCCTAGCTGACACACAATAATGTATCTTTTCTTTCCTTCCTCTCAGAAGCATGAGGAGACACTTGAAAGTTTGAAAAAAACTTGGCATTATATTTTAGTTTTTCTGCCTTGAACAACAAAAAAAATCCATTTGAACATCTGCTACAGAAATCTGAATTTGCTTATCTAGATGCACCTCAGACCTCTAGATGCCCAGTTTAACATGTTCTGGCACAAAGGGTATACTAAAAGCTGGTTTAATTTCTCTGTAACATAAGAATTGATTCCAAGTCTCATCCTGGACATTACTGTACATTTTAGAGGCATGGGCTATGCACATAGGTACAATCAATATTTGGAAAAGAAATGGGACTAACTGGGGAACTATTATATGTGAACTTGCTACCCTAGAAATCTGCAATATTTGGGGGCTCAATAGCTATATTTAGAATTTTGAATAGGCATATTCACAAATGGCATCATCTTCACAGCGAAACAGAAAACACCTATTTCATAGAGAACAGGTGAGGTTAAACTTTCCTGGGCTGATGAAGAGCTGTTAATATCTGGGTTATTGCAATAATAAATTGTCAAGCTAATCACATTGTTAGTCCAAATTCAGCATATATACAACTCACCAGAATGACAGCATCAGAAAGAGTAGACAAGACATGTCAGAAGATGTGTCAAATCCAAATCAAATTCAGGAATGCAGCACGGAATTCTATCCATGAATCCTTTCACAGAGTAGCGTTATTCCAGTGACTCTGCCAAGCCCAGATGTAATATTTAGATCCCTAAATCCTAAGAGTTGAGTGCAATTGGGCCTAATCGGGTACAACTTCTCTCTTCTGATATAGTCTATCATCTGAAGAAGGTGTTGAGGACTGGCTGGAGAAGGCTTCTGGTTTGGGTTAATATCTATTGGGTCCAGGACAGGACTGAGATGATATGATTGCCCAGCATCTTCAATGGGGCCTGTAAACACAAAAATGTCCCCTTCTGGGTCCTCTTCCTCGTCTGAGGATTGCTCTTGAGACAGGAGGAGAACATCAAAAGAAGTGATCTTTTCAGTCCCCAAGCCACTTATTTCTGACATGCTTAAGATGCACAGAACTCTTCCCATTCACTCCAAGCTTGCGGGTTCGGGATGGGGCCAAGACACATCACCCCAGCGGCTTATGACCCCCCCCCCGCATTTTCCCGGACCGCGTGGAGTTGTCCTCTACCGTCGAATCCTGATGCAATAAAGGTCCATTGAAGGCAAAATCACCTGTCAGAAACGCCTCCCGCTTTTAAACAAGTTTTCTTTTTTTCGTCTTCTGAAGAAGAGGACAGTGAAAGTTGCTCCTAACAAAGTTCCTACTACTATTTCCACCCCCGACACTGAGCAAGCGTCTAAGAGGGCGGCGGCGCGCGCTCTGCAGCAACCCCGCTGCCAAGGGGACAGTCGAGGCGCTCCGCCCTAAGGCGGCTCGGGGAAGCGGGGGGAGCCGGACCTTGGCGTCTGCCTCCTATCCTCCAATCCGGATCGACGACGAGGAGCTGCTGCGCAGGGAGCGCTACTTGGAGCGCTTACTTTCCGGCTGCGCATCTAGCGGGACTACGAAGCTGTGGACGGAGGTAGCAGCAGGCGCGGGAAGCAAGACGCCGCGTAACGTAAAAGTGGGGAGGAGAGGAGAGGTGACAACTAGAGAGAGAAAAGGGGGGGATAGGGAGAAGGTGGCGTCAGGAAGGACGAGGAGACGTGGACAGTTTGGGCGGGATAGGGACAGCTGCCCCCCCCCCAAGGGCAGGGGTACGGTGTAAAGATGAATCTTAAAGGCGTCTCACTGCCCGCTTGCCGGCCGCTGAGACATAATGCAGCGTCGGCACTTGCCTCCATAGGCGGCCCTTGAAATCGAGCTGCCGCTGTGACTAAGCAAAACCTGAATTGTGCTGGAGAGGTGCAAGGAGAAAATCATTCATACTTCATTCTGCCTCCCTCGCTCATTAAAACTCTTTTTAGGCTTGCTTAAAAGTCTAAATTGCTGACTGAAATTTCTGCCCTTGTAGGGTGCAACGCATGGAGGCTGAATAGTGCTGGACAACTTTTACTACCAGTAACATCCAAGGCTAGAGGTGAGGTCCAGTGGGAACCTAAAATGCCCATTCGGCCCACTTAACTAGTCCTGTAGCTGTGTCCTGGTCCCTTTAACTTTCATCTGGGTTTTTAGTTTATTTTACACAAAGTTATTGCAACAACTTTCTGCTTGCCTGGTCTCCTTATAATCCATGACATTTCTATGGTTGCTCAATAGACTTGCCTGCCGTGTTGACATTGTCACCTTCTTGATCTGCAAGGAATGGGTGTGGTTGGTTCTGGACAGCACTTAGCAATACTGAGTGTGATCTCTGCCTTTTAATGGCTTTCGAGCACGGCATGCATTAACATTTGGCTCCCGTGGAAGGGAGTTGTCCGAAGACGCCATTTAACTGGGTGCTGATAAAAGAGGTATGAGGCTGAGGTAAAGTTTAGCCAAAAGCGGATTTATGTTCTTTGGGCTGTTTTGGTTTGGGGCTAAAGGAAAGGTTAAGAGTGTCCTTTTGTCTGACCGCTGTGATAAAGCTACTAGGAGGGACTCTGAAGAAAAGAGTTATATCGTATAAGTGATATGCAGTATTTATCATTCAAAGGTCTTACTAGAGGCACTTCCTTGGGATTTCAGGAGCACCAAGATGATCATAGTATATATCAGAGGAAATGCATGATATTTGGATTGGTTCAGTTACTTTTTCAGGATAATAATTCAACACTTTCATTAGAATTATATGCGGCCCTGCCATTAGACTGGCGCTCTTCAGAACAGAAAATTCACATGGTTGGTTGAGAAGGATTTGTAATGATTGGTGCATTGACTTGCCTGCCTGTTATAATTGTAAGTGAAGTGTACCCAGTAGGTGCCAATAATACAGCGCTGGGCAGCAGCCATTCAACGTGAGAATGGAGATAGAGGGAACAATATCAAAAGCAAAATGTTGAATGTGCTAAGTAAGATGCTGACATTCAGGACCCCCATGGTAGCATGTAGTTTACCTTATGATGTACCTCTGCTTGGCTCTAAGTAATTTCAGTGGGAAATGTGATTCTACACACGACTGCGAAACTTGAAGAGGCAGCTTGCTTTAGCAGAACTTCAAGCAAAGCACTCTTGAAACGCAGTTGCAAATGGATTCTCCCCCATCCCCGCTTCTTTCTGGCTTAAAGATGATTTGAAAAAGAAGTGTGTCATCGCAGATAAATGCTGATTTCTGCAGATTATGAATGTACCCTTGGTTGTTTCTTACTGTTCTTCCTCATCTTAATATACCCATATTTTAGTTTGCGTTGTCTTCCTATTTGGGTTTAGACTGGGGAAACTGCTAACTGCTGCAAATTTCACCTTCTCTACCTGGACAGTGGAACTCTGTCAACAATAGCTCGTGCTCTCATCACCATGTGTTTAGACTACTGTAATGCACTCTACCTGGGCCTGCCTCTGAAGATAGTCACCTTATGTGAGATGGGTGGCCATATAAATAAAATAAATAAATAAATAAATAAATAATCCAGAAACTACAAAATGTGGCATGTAGTATTGCACCAATTTTCTGGCCATTGCATTGGCTACTGATAAGTTTCTGATTCCAGTTCAAAGTTCTGCTTTTGATCTATCAAGCCTTTGAGACTCAGCTCCATGATGCTTCAAGGACCCTTTATGTCAGGTTGAAGCTCCCCAGCCCATGCATGCAAGCTGGGAGGGAATGCTTAGGGCCCCTACTCCTATGAGAGAGCAAAAAGACATGCATACAAAGGCCGTCCTCTATAATGCCCCTTTGTTAGGGAACACCATCCCCCTGGAAATGCACCAGCCACCCGCCTTATTTGTTTTCTTCAGTTTTCTTTCAACAGGCATTTGGTGACTTCTTTACAGTATTGTTGTTATGAATGCATGACATTGGGTTCCCATTTTGTATTGGATTGTCAAGTTCTGCATATTCTGCTTTTAATTTTATTATAAACTGCCTAGAGTCTTGGGAGCTGGTGATACATAAATACTGTATATGTAAATAAAGAAATGGTTAAGTTTAAGAATGCAGGCTCTAAACATTCTACTGAACATTTCCATGATCACAAAATGCCCTGTAAGAATGATGAAGTTTCTTTCCCAAACCTAACAACACTGTTTAGGTAAAGTACCATTCACAGAATTGGAAAAATCATATAGCTGGGCATTTAAAGAAGGAATAAATTAATATGTTTCACACCACATGCATTGTTTCACACCATATCCACACCAAATATATCATGCTTGTTTTTCAGGCTAGACACACACACAAAATGTCTACAGATGTTCCAAGACAAGGAGGAGTATGGCGACAAACTAGAGTTCTTTTATACAAGAATTGCTTAATTAAATGGCGGACAAAAAGGACTAGTATTCAGGTGAGTTGATCAGAAGTATTCTATTTTAGCCTCATTTCAACATTAAAAGCAGATGTCTTATATCAAATTAATAATTGTATTGAGTCTGTATGCAGGTACATTCTGTTAATGACTACAGATCTAATGAGATTCACAGATAGTTACTTTATAATAGTTGTGGGGTTTGTGCAACCCAAACACACTATGAACTATAGCATTAGAAATGTACGCACCAGAAGGCTAACCCGTGATTTTTTTAAAAAGTGAAATATTAAAATCAAAGTATAAATAGTAATAATAGTACAATAAAACTTTAATATATAATAGTAATTAAAACATAGTAACATTGAATGAAGATCTATATTATTGATACAGAATTAAGTTAATCCTTTAAAATACTATTAAATTTAGAACATTTTAAAAAGTGGTGTTCTATCATCTAATTTTTATACTAAAATTATATTTCAGAAATTGTTAGGGAATACATCTGTTGAACATCAACTGTCTACATTTCTTTCCACCTATATAGGATAATTGTCTTTGCTAATCCCCTTGCTCAATAGAACCAGTGTTCTTCCTTAAATGTCAAATTCCATATTTTGGGAGTATAATACCACATCACATCTGTATTATATTTCTCTTGAAAGTTATGTTAATGTATATAATGACCTGAAGTTAAAAAAAAAAGTCATAAATGGACCTGACCTAAAATAAAATGAGTCAGATAGCTCTTACACTTCTTATAATGCCAACATTAAAAAAAAAATCAGATATCCATCCTTTTTAAAACATTATTTGAGGAATCCATTAAACACAAAACAAGATTTTTGGATGAATTAACTTCTTCCCTAAATCATATTCAAAAATCATGTTTTTTTGGAACACAGTGCATAAAATTGAATTGTTGATTGTACTTCAAATGCAGTGGCACTTAAAGATCCTGGTATTTCAGGTACCTCTGAAGCTGCTAAAGCATCTGGACCATTTTGTTTGTCAGTGCTTTAATTGTATATGCCTCCAAGTCAATGATCCAATAACTTATATTCAAGATATAGTCTTTTAAAATCCTTTAAATAGGCACTACTAATCAGTTGGTTCAAGGTGTTAAGTCCTTGCTGAGCCCAAGACTTACTGTTTCTCCTTGCGATCTTCAAATTGAGAAAGCTCACCCATGATGGGAAGGGCATAAAAGAGGGGTCAGAGTAACTCTGCTCCACTGGCAACCCATTTGGATATTTTGCCAAAAAAAAAACCCTACAGAAAATTCACAACCAGGTCAGTGTCAGCATGGACACTGAGCCCTCAAAGTTGAAAATTATCCAACCAAATAAGGGGGAAGATAGAGGACAGGTATGAGAAGTCCTGGTGCTTTTGATGTGGTTGAATTGAAGCTGAAAGGATGCACCCTCTCCTAATGTGGTTAAGGGCAAAAGGAAAGCTTGATGCTGCAAAGATAGGCATCTGTACTGTTGGTACACGAAATATCAGAACAAAGAACCAATCAACTCTAAGTTAACCTAAGGACTAGCCAAGATTTCAGAGAAGTTGCACATGGGCTCTAAATGAGCCCAAAGGCAATGATAATCAGTGGAATTCTCATTCTGTATAAATATAGATGTTAAAATAAAAGCTCAGTTATAATATAGACTAAAGCCAACATCCTCATAAAACAACCTCATTTTGGCCAAAAACAGCCAGAGAATCTTGTCTTGCCACAAAACCTTCTCAATAATTTGTTTATTTGTGTAAAATATCTAATAGGAATTAACACTGGAATCCCTCTTAAAAAATACATTAATCTTACCCCAAAGGCTAAAAAGTTATTTTAAATAACCACCAATTTCTGTCCACTGCAATTGTATCTATACACATAGACGTGGTAATTCAACATATTGTGATATATTTCAGGGGAATGTAACCCCAAATATTTTATACAGTCCAAACAAATGATAAAACAATTTCTTACAGTAATGTATATATTTTTGTTATCCAAAAGAAAACAAATTACATATTTTTCCACTTAATAATATACCTAGAATATAAGCCATATTGTTGTGTAACTTCAACCAAATATCCAAAATATTATCAACATATAAGAAAATTTTACATTTGGTGCCACAACACCAATAATATCTTGTAAAAATTTAAAAAGCTAGAGGTTCAAGAACCAAATTGAAATTAAAGGGGACAGTGAACATCTCTTTCAGGTACCACAAAGTAACTTCATAACTGCTGATATAAAAGTTTGTGATCACCCTAGTTATAGTGTGATCATGAAGATGTGAAATAGTAATCCAGGATTAAAATTAATTTTTAATTAAATTAATTAATTAGCTAAATTTTTGTTAAATTAAGATTTTAAAAGATTCTTCAAAAGATGGTGGAAAAGTAAATCTTTTTAAAATACACTCCAGAAACTTAATATGAACCATATTGAAGACCTTTTCAGCATACAACAATATTAAGCTGAATCAACTTTATGTACTGCTGTTTCAAAAGTTTCAATCACCAAATGAATATTACTGGATGCCTGTCAGCTTTTTATAAATCCTGATTGAGTTGGATAAATTTTAGATCTCTTAGCTAATACTGTTGCTATCTTGACACCAATGTTAAGCAATAATATTGGCCTATAACTTTCACATCTAGTAAGATCTTTCTCTTATTTTAATTTTAATATTATTGTAAATTGAGCCTCATAAAATAAAAAAAATAAATTTAGTAAGGTTGCATGGCTCATGGTAAACCTCTAATAATATAAGAGCCATAAAAGTTCTATACCTTTCACTTGGAAAACCATCTGGACCAGGGGCTTTCCTCAGTTCTCTTTATATATTGCTAACAACAATAAAACAGCAATGATAACACAAAATAACTACAGTGACAACGAATACAAAGCCATGAGTCTGACTCAAGCCCCCCCCCCCAATGTACAAGACATCATACAAATGAGAACAGTTTTTCTTTAAAAAATCTAAATGGCCCTTTAATTTTCTCTGTCTCACTTAAAGTCAATCACTCTTCTCTTTTAGCACATGTTTTTTTATGCTTGCTTTGATCAACAATTCACACATGACTGTGATTGGGCATCTTGAAAAAGCATATTGTTCTACAGCTTTGTTAAAGAAACGGAATTTATTTAAGAAGAACATGCACACAATGCTCGGTGGGACTCCTTTCCCTAGTTGCCAATTAGAGAAGCAATTAAAATCTTTCAACGAGAAGCAAACACACAGAGTTCCAGACTTAGTTAAGTGTTACTGCTTTAGAGCATTCTTCACCTATATTTTCTCATTCACTCATCCATTCACTCATCTTACTCTTGAAACTGGGAGCTGGCCAAGCAGCTTGTCCAAGGGTGTGGGGATTCCTGTCCAGATAGAGGAAAATCTTTTGTTTCAAGTCCTTTATGCTTTTGCCGATGGCTAGGCTAATTGCCTTGTCCAGCTCTAATGTACAAGGTACAATTTTAAGTGTTTGCTTCTCCAGTCAGTACCCTCATTCTTTAAGAGTTCCCCTTTCACCTTAGTATGCCAAATATCTGATAAAATATAGACATACCTCTCTTGCTTTCAAAGAATGACACCCTGGGCTCTGTGTTATGGGTGCTGGCTCTATTTTTTGCAGAGAGTAAAAATCCTTTTATCACAGATCACTGAACGTCCTGGCCCAAAGCTTGGGGCAACAGCCAGATCTTTAAGGCTTTGTGGAAGGCCAACAGAATAGGGACCTTCTAGATCTGGGGCGGGGGGGGGCAGAATCTCATTCCATTGTCTCACAAAACAATGTTGTTACAAGGGTGTGCTATGGTGTGCCCAAAACTGCTGCATTCTGAACTAGTTGAAGATTCCAATAGTCTTCAAGGGCATCCCCATGTAGACTGCATTGCAGTAGTCCAAGCAGAAGATAAATAAGGCATAAGTAACTATGATCAGGGCCTCTCAGTCTAGGAACAGGTGCAGTTGGTGCACAAAATGGATTTGAGCAATGCCCCTCTCAAACACAGCTGCCATCTGCTTTTCGAGCAGGAGATGTGACTAAGGAGACCCCAAATTGTGTACCAACTGTAGGAGAGTATAACTTCATTCATAATTAAAGATGGAAAATCTCCAGATTCAGAAGACCACAAAACTCATAGCCACTCAGTCTTTCATGGTTGAGACAAAGCCTGTTCTTCCCCATCCAGACTCAAACAGCCTGCACTGGAAAAGAATCGTGACATGGTTAGCTTGGGGCAGAGATGTAAATTGAGTATCATCAGCGTACTGGTGTAATCAGCTGTGTGAGTAACCTTGAGGAACAGGAGAAAGAGCTGCAACCAAGACAATGGTCAGATGAAATATGAGTCCAAAGCAGAAATGTAACTTGAGAAAAAGTCGTAGATTCAACCCTCCCTAGTTCTCTCGTAGATAGAGGCAGGGAGGAGAGAAGGTACTTTCAGGCTTGCAGTATTCTATTTCTGTAACCCTACAATAAAAGTAGTATTCATAACTTTGGTTTCCTAGTCTGGTCTACCTCAAAGGGCTGACAACTGATGATACCTCACCCAGTGCCAAAGATGACTTTACCCATATAGATGTTGAATAGGAGAAGGGAGAGGATGGAGCACAGAGGCATCTCTCAAAACAGGGATCTAGGACTGGACCTCTCTTCCCCTCCCCCAACACCAACTAGAATCAGCCCTGGAGGAAGGTGGAGAACCACTGCAACACCATGCCTCCTATTCCCAAACCTCTGAGACAGTCCAGAAGGATACTATGATATCAAAAATCAGTGAATGGAGAGCCAGGATTGATGCATTATCTCCATCCTGCTGTTGCCAAAAGGTATCAACATGTATGACCAATGCTGTCTCAATGTTATACCAGGCCTTGAACCTGACTGAAAAGGGTGTAGATAATCCATTTCCTCCAGGGCCTTCTGGAGCTGGATGCCAAGTACCTTCTCAACAACCTTCCCTAAAATAGGAAGATTGGAGACTGGGCAAAAATTGTCCACTTCCATTGGATGCAGCAGTGGCTTCTTGAGGAGAGGGTGGACAGTTGTCTCTTTCAGAGCTAGATGAACCACCCACTCCCTCAGAGCATTCACTACTACATGAACCCAACCTCATAGCACCTTATGCAACCAGGAGGGACATGGATCTAAAACACAGGTGGCTCAAATCACAGCTCCGGGGGCCCTGTCCACTTCATCAGGACAGCAGGTTTGGACTTTTCCCAAATAATCGGGCAGAACCATATCCATCCAGTAAGTTCTCTGGGCAAATTGCAACTGGTAAAATATTCTAAAAATTATAAAGATATTAAAAAGAAAACAATAAAATAATAAAATACAATTTATAATCTTACAGGAGAAATACTGTTATCAATCTGCCTAAATATGAGCAACTCCAGGGGATTCATTAGAGATGGTTTGATTTCCCTTGTAGGGGAGAGCAGTAGAGAATGTTAGCATTTTATAAAACATTTGATTTCATTATAAATATACATTTATAAGTAAATGCATAGCTAAAAGCAAGCAGATATGCTGCATCAGAATAGGTTTATAAAAGAAGTGTCCCAGACTCCCCAAATTCTCCTAGCTTTGAAATACATCTAAGACCTGTTACAGAATGTTCGTTCACATACACACATGTAATCTGCTCTTTTTATTTAAGGCCTGTCCCATTTAGAGGTAAATTTCCCATCGAATGTCTCAAATCAATCGCATATTCAGCCTTCCAGAGAAATTTCTATATCAATAAATTATCTTCTGTCAGTTTTCATATAAAATATTAAATTATGCCTGGTATATATACATACACATATCCATACATATAAGCACATGTAATATCCCAAACTTACCAGACGTTGCTCATTTGTTACAGAAGGTCCTCTACTTACTAATAAGTTACATTCCAAGAGGCTGTTCGTAAGTCCATTTTATTTGTAAGTCCAACCATGGCACGCCGTATACTTACACATGTGCACTGTAAAATTCTGGATGTACGTATACGGCACGCCATACACTTCCAGGCATACATACACATGCGCATTGTAAACTTCCAGGGCCTTCCTTCCAGAACCTTCATTGTTGGAGGTTTGTTCGTATCTGCGAAAGTTCATAACTTGAAAGTTCATAAGTAGAGGACTGTCTGTATACAGTATATACATCTCAGAGTAGAGATGTAATGTACTGTTCTAGACCATTTTTCCTCTGAATCAGGTTGATCTGCCCATTACAGAAATAGTGTGGCAGTTTTCTGGAAGTTAATCTTCCAAATAGGCAGCAGTTTGTGATATTCTGGATGTGCTCTAGCCCAGGAACAAGTCTGTGAAACATCTTTAAAGAAGACTTTAAAGTGTTGCATACAATAATTTGATTACTTTTCTTTTTCAAGCAGATTCAATGAAAATAACTATTATTTAGAATGCAAGTTGATGCCTACACTTAATCATCAGCGCTTAAGATGGCATCTGACTTTAATGGGCAAATTAACACATACACAGTTTGCATGGTTTAATTTGTTCATAGTTTGCAAACTGAATGCCTCCGTTCTAATAAACTGTTCTGCTAGTGTCTTTGCTAAAATATGCTTTTAATTCATTTTACTTATTGTATAAAATGTTATTTTAAAGATCTTGAAATCCATTTTGAATATTGTGCATATCAGTTATATCCACAGAGGGATCACAAAAGGCAAGATGGTGGTTGTGGCAGGGCTATCCAAGCCCCTCCCCTTTTGGGTGTCAATGTTGCATGCATGTACAACAGGGTGGCCTTTGATCATGCTTCCGCAATGGCCAATCTTCCTCATTTTGACCACCCTGGGGACACTGCTGACATATATATTAATCCCCTTAATTCTTGTTTGCTTCTCTGTAAAACTTGATTTTAAAGAATCAGTTTATTATTGTTATTATTATTAGACTTTTATCCCATATAAAAATGTGTATATTTTGGTCAACTCAAGAGGGCAAACATACCCAATACTCCTGCTTTAGCTTAAAGTCTTTGGTGAAATCCCTCTGGCCCCTGTGCAGGAAAAAATAAAGCATGGGCAAGCCAGGATGATAGAAAACATCCAAGGGAATTGGGAAGGTTGTGGGGAGCCTGCTGATAAATGGGTGGTTTGTGATGAATCCCTCTTGCCATGCGAGCTGTTTTCTGAATAGGTGAATTTTAAGCTGCACTTATCTATGCTTCATTTTAAATACGTTTTTGATGAATTTTAAAGTTGCAATTATGTCTGCTTCTGTCAGGCCCACCCAAGATCAATGATGAAACACTCCAGTCAAGTATAGTCCCTTTATTAGCTTACACCTTATAGACAGAATCTTGCCAGACTAAATCTATACTACTGCAACTAGTGGATATACCTTGGCTGCTTCTGTCAGGCCCACCCAAGATCAATGATGAAACACTCCAGTCAAGTATAGTCCCTTTATTAGCTTACACCTTATAGACAGAATCTTGCCAGACTAAATCTATACTACTGCAACTAGTGGATATACCTTGGGAGATTCTAGGGAGTGGCTATCCTGAACCTCTTACTCTTCTCACGCTCCCCCTGCGGACTGTGTTGTCTTTTGTCTCCTTTCCCCTCCTGGAATGCGCCCCCTCCCTCCCGATAGCCTTGATCTCCCACATCACCCTCCTCCTCGTAGATAGAATCCATCACCACTTCTCCTTATTGCAGATATAATTGAAGATGGTTGCTTTTTACTCATTTCTATTTTACTTCTTTCATTTATGCAGGAAATCCTCATCCCTCTTTCCTTACTAGGTTTGCTAATCATTATAAGCATGATACAGCCAAACAAAAGACACGGTAGGATGCCTGATGCAGTTCTTTACTCTGCAAATCGCTCAAGCCTTTCCAAGTTTATTGTTGGCTACACACCAGTAACTAATGTGACAAGGAAGATCATGCACAAAATGTTTTCAGAATACTGCCCAGAAGGTATGGTATTTTGTCCTAAATAAAACTGTTTTTCCTTTTGAAGTTACAGCCCTTCAATAGCCAATCAGTTGTGATCCCTGCATGAAGATCTATTTTCTCCTATGTAGACAGAATTTTAAAACTTGCTTTCAAATTTTGGTAATTTAAGCATGCAAAAAAACCAAAGGAAGGATAAGATGCTCTTTACTGCTGCAAAATAAGTATTTAAGTGCATCGTCAGATCTGTCATTGCAGAACTTTGTAGATAAAAGAGTTACAGCCTTTAAGATTAAGAGGTCACTCTATTGCATTTGGTAGATTTCTTAAATAAAAAGTTGCTTGGGTATGATTGCATTTTTAATATGGCATGTTGCACTTTGTAAGAATTTCTTGTTTAATATCTGCTTCCCTTAATATTCTTACAATATATCAAATGTTCTTAACTGCAGTGCCATTGAAGAAAAGTGTTAATTCTAAACATACATGGGTCCAATAGAGTTGTTATTTTTCTGCATTTTCCTTGGGATTACTTTTGTCATTTCTTTCATGCTAATGGTTAAGGTATTGGACCAGGAGCAGGGAGACCTCTATTCAAATCCACCTCAGGCATGAAAATGCACTGGGTGACATTGGGCCAGTCATTCTCTTAGTGCAGCCTATCTCACTAGGCTGTTGTTATAGGATAAAATTGGAGGAGGGGGGCAACATGTGCCACCTTGAATTCCTGGAGAAAAGATGGAATATTAAGTCTTACCAAAAAAAAGAAATACAGTCGTACTTACAATTCACCTAATCATGCACGAACTCTGAATCCTTGCACTTATTAGCTTTGGTACCTTGGCTTCCTACTTCCATGTCTTTGGCAGGCAAGCTGGTCATATTCTGACTCATCTGCCCCAAATCTCTAATAGCAAAACCTCCATTTTGTGATTTGAGCCACTCCAGCTTGTCATGGCTAGAGCTGCCTTCTCATTGGTGGGAATTTCTCCCAACGCTTAGCTCTATGTCATTCCCCCCTGCTCTTGACTGGGAAGGTGCTATAAGGCCATGGTGCTTACACTTTGGGCTAGAGGACTGTTCCCCTTTAACCCTACCCCACCCCCTGCCCGAACAAATTCAGCAAGGCATGGACTGAAGCAAGGTGATTTCTGTGTTCCCTCACTGATCAGGTGAAGTGAGGACAGGTCAGGTCAGCTCTGGCTGCTCCCACAATAGCTATCTTTCTTGATACAGAGAAAGCTTTTGACAACTTAGAGTGACCATTTTTATTAGCAATATTAAATAACATAAACCTTGGAGAAGAATTCAAAACTTGGGTAGAAACCATATACCAATGGCAAAGATTACAGAGCACTCTCTGCAAACTTTTCAGTAAGTGAAAGTGCTAGACAAGAAAGGTTCATTCTTTCACTATTTGTGTTTGCTTTAAAATTATTAGCAGATAAGATTAGAAAAGATAAATATTAGGCGTCAAGACTCAAGAAGAAGAATATAAATTAAAATGTTATGCAGAGAATGTAGTTTTAACTATCATGCAGCTGCAAAGTGCAGTAAGATGGCTGATGAAAACAATTAGGAGATGGAAACGTGAGTTTGCACGTTTGTGAGCACCATCTGATAATTTTAAATGTTATGCCATACACATTGGGGTTGGAATTTTTCATTGAAGCTACAGAGCATTAGCATTAGTTTTGGTTTGTCTTTGAAAATAATTAAAGGTTTTGGTGAATTTTCCAGATATAAATTCAATGCAAAAAAACCTCCAAGATAATAAGATATTTAACTCAAGAAAAAAAGTTTTTGTGCAGAAAGACTCTGGTTGACAGCAAAAAATCCAGTAAAATATTTGGGACTGCACTTGACACTGGTGCCAATAGAGATATATTCCAAAATAATTATAATAAATTATGGAGAGAAATTAAAAAATATCTTGAAAGGTGGACAAATTTAACACTCTCCTGGTTAGAATTAATAGCAACTGTTAAAATGGATATACTATTTAAGATAATTTTTTTATTTCAAATTGGTGCCAATTTCAATCCCAGAAAAAACTAACAATCAACAAATGTGTATGAAATGGGGAAAAGAAGAGTAAAATTTAAAATCTTACAAGACTCAAAAGAAAGAGGTAGACTTTCTTTTCCAAATCTTAAACCGTATTACTGTGCAAGTTGTTTGTTATGTATTACAGAATGGATAAAGTCCCCAAATAGCAGAATGTCAATACAGTATTAGAAGGAGCTGATCTGGCCAATGGACTTCAGGGGTATTTATGGTATAAGGAAATGAAAGAAGATAAAAATCTGAAAAGATATAAGACAAAGTTTAATAAAAAAAAATATGAAACTCCTTAAAATCAATAAATCCAAGCAATTTCATCACTAGCCTCACCTTTCTATTTCAGGGATAACTACCGCAAGAGAAGTGTAATTATACATGCAGGTATGGTACATTCAGATTCCAGAAATAGATTAAAGACACAGCAAGAATTATCCAGTGAGAACAGGAATTTACCATGGTTGACCTATTTACAAATTGCTGGAAGAATAAAAAATAATATTGGGAAAGAAGAGGGACTGTAAGAAAGATTACAGAATTTGAAACACACTGTCAGGCCTAGCCCAAGGAACTCCAAGAGACAGTGCAAATTCAGTCCAGTTATGTTTA